CCCACTACTAGTCCTATTCAGCAAGTAGATTTGTCCTTTTTACAAAGTCCAAAAGCTTCCTTGCTGACACTTCTCTCAGTTCCTTGGGTTCCAAATAAGGTCTCCCCAGGAGCGTCATTCCGCTACGTGCAAATCTCGGGCACTCGCCCAGAATATGCAGAGAAGTTTCATCCACCGATTCACATCCTCGGCAGACCGGACTGTCTACAAGCTTTAGCTTATGTAGATGTTTCCTAAAGTGACAGTGTCCCATTATGAGTCCTGTCACTCTCCTGAGCCGATTCTGTTCAACCTCAGTAAATCGTCGCTCTTTCCTTCGGATACTCCATGAGCTCCTTAAAATGGCTATGTCCTGGCCTTGAAGTCCAGTATTTCCTGTGTTCTGTCTCAGTCCATTTGCCCAGAGCCCGCCTGACCACACTGGGCGATGTGCCACAGAAGGGCTCCGGGCCAATGAACTCTGTCTCGGATCCCTTCCTAGCAAGTTCATCCGCTTTCTCATTTCCACAAATGCCTTTGTGCCCTGGCACCCAACACAGTCTGACTGTATTGTTGGTGGCCAGTTCAGTCAGCATTTGTAAACAATCCCATACCAGTTTTGAACATATCTTGTGTGCACCTAAAGCTTTAAAAATAGTCTATCAGTCTTTACTTTGATTTGTTTTTTTAATATCTCTTATTTGAAAAATGGATTATTTTGAAAGCAACAAAACTACCCTGCGTAATTTAGGTATGTAATAAATACGTTTGTATCATCTAGATATACTTGTGTTTTCCATTGTTGATTTTTTTTGTAAATATACAAATACCAATAGGTACTAAGTATTTATATAAAAATACATCATACATATTGACTCTCCCCTTTAAGCTTCTTTCTTCGAACTTAAGAAGAGCTTATCGAACGGAACAATGAATTACACCTTCTTAAAAATAATTTCTATTAAGTGATTTATTAACTCCAGTGTAAACTGACATTATTTAGTTATAACAGTATTGCAGCTGGCGTGCTACTTCGGGACATTATTGCATAATATTATTTCCAAAGTCAGCACATCTCCCACGTATCACACGATTCTAGCACCATGTTGTGAGCCACCCTCACAAAGTTATTTTAACTGCCCATTTGGAACCAATCTAGTACAAATTTACATTCGAAGAATGGGCTTTGAATGGAGTGGAAAACATTTCGGCCTTGGCGCTAAATTGGTTCTATGTCTCTGTCCTGTCCTATTTCCCGGCACGAGGAGGGATATTCTGAATTTGTTTAAGATTCAGATGCACAGCGAATACGAAACAGGCCAGATGGAATGAATTGCATTCTTTGCGGGATGCCGGATAGTGTTATTAAGTTTAGAGTGCTGCTGTGTTTTCCGAGCTAATGTTGGGAACCTTGAAATTATTCCAGAAGTTCCAGCTTGGCTCGAACTTGTCCAACTATTAGGGTTCAAATAACATGCAGAATTTCAGTATAACTTGTAGTCCAATTCGAAACGTTGTACGGACGAGCCAAACCTTTTTAAGACAAAATAACTATACACTAAAAGATAAAAATAGGTTAAATTCAAAGTTATTACGAGTGAAATTATTTTCGTGTTGTATTTTGAGTGAATTTAAGATTTTAACAAAGACATACTTGTATCAGTACAGTTTTAGTTACAAAATCTAAAATATGTGACTATGACTTTTACTTGTTTTATTTTACAGTGCAGCTGAATGGGGGTCATATTTAATATACAATACGCGCCTAAAGTATGGAATAAATTCAATAAAAGCGAAACAAATTTTTTTTGGGAAAAATCCTCGAACAGGTCGATTTTTAATTTAAAAGATACATATTTTAGCATAAAAAGCGATTTTCAACCGTCATTTGTTTTCGAGTAATGACATCATCGGCATTTTTTTTAAATAGCAACCCCTTATTTTTATTTTTGATCCTGAAAGATCGTTTCATTGTCGGTCCGACAGTATTAAAATGTTGCCATCTTACATAGGAAAGTTTTCGAGTAAATGACGATTGAATGTTAGAAAACCCAAATCAATTAAAATAAAGCAAAAACGTTATCAAATTTAGTTTTTCGAAATGCCTGAAGTTTTTTATGGATCACGTAGGTGTAAATCTTTACAAAGTGTCACTGTCATACCGACTTTCTAAGTATTGTAAGCGATATAAAAATTATTGTTGAATTTAAAGTATTATGGCACATTTAACTGTCACACAAAGAATTGAAATTTTAATTCTTATCGGATGCGGGGATAAGACTAGAACGCAGCAGGAAGTTTGCGATTTATTTAATGAAAAACATCCAGATCGCCGTATCAGCCAATCAACAGTCAGTAAGATAGAATCTAAATTTAGAGAAACTGGCAATGTTGTAGATATTCCAAAACCTGGACGTCCAAGCGTTAGTGAAGATCACAAACAGAACATTTTGATAAGTATGGTAGATAATCCTCATAATACTTCACGATTGGTTGCATTAAACAATGAAATTAGTCAGACCACAGTGCTACGTATCCTGAGGCAGGAAAAATATCATCCCTACAAAATTCAACTTGTGCAGGAACTCAATGAAGACGATCCCGACCGCCGCTTACACTTTTGTGAAATTATGATGGATTTATGTCAAGTAAATAGAGATTTACACCGGCAAATACTTTTTTCAGACGAGGCCACGTTTTGTCTCAATGGTACAGTGAACCGTCAAACTTGCAGGTATTGGAGTCGGGAAAATCCTCATTGGATGGCAGAGACACATACCCAACACCCACAGAAATTAAATGTGTGGGCTGGAATAGTTGACAACAGAATAGTAGGGCCTTTCTTCTTTGAAGGAACCCTTACAGGAGAAAGATATTTAGAGTTTTTACAAAATGACCTTGTTCCAGCGCTTGCAGTAATTTTTCCTAACGATAATGACCCTGATATTCCTGATGACACCATATGGTTTCAGCAAGACGGTGCACCTCCGCACTATGCGCGCCCTGTTCGAGATTTTCTGGACAATTGTTTTCCTAGGAGGTGGATCGGCAGACGAGGACCGATAGAATGGCCCGCGAGATCCCCAGATCTTACACCCCTGGACTATTTCTTATGGGGCTACTTAAAGTCCAAAGTGTACGTTAATAGACCACATAATTTAGAAGAACTCCAAAATTGTATTATAGATGAAATACACAGAGTTACCCCAGAAATAATTCATAATGTGCAAGAAGAATTTCTACACAGACTTGCGTATTGTCAAGAATTCGGTGGGTGGCAATTCGAACACTTAATTTAGGTAGAAAACTTAATGAATTGTATTTGCTTGACACAGGAATTGTTATTTTTTTAATGAATAAAATTTACGTTTTCTAACATTCAATCGTCATTTACTCTAAAACTTTCCTATGTAAGATGGCAATATTTTAATACTGTCGGATCGACAATGAAACGATCTTTCAGAATCAAGAAAAAAAAAATAGGTGGTTGCTAGTTAAAAAAAATTTCGATGACGTCATTACTGGAAAACAAATGACGGTTGAAAATCGCCTTTTATGCTAAAATATGTATTTTTTAAATTAAAAATCGACCTATTCGAGGATTTTTCCCAAAAAAAAATTGTTTCGTTTTTACTGAATTTATTCCATACTTTAGGCGTTGTACTGCAAGTAGTTTATTTTTTCAAATACCGTCTTGAAAATTATTATCTTTAAAACATGTTTTAGTAATTTTCATACTCCACCGCCAGACAAGCCAGTGTAACCTCAAACAACGACTCGCTTAAGCCGTAACGCATGCACAATTGGCAACTGGGCTGTGCATTGTTGTCAAATAACATATTTAAAGGAATGGCGTTACTTTTGTTGAGTTGGGGTTCGTCAGAAGCCCTATTATCCCTCATAAGTGAAAATTTAGTTTTTAACTGCGGTTTTGTTCAAATAATTTAAATTTGCCGCCATAAGTCACTAGTTGTAAGTTGGCATTATGTACGGATTCCATGATGTTAGTATTTAAGTATTCTTATGTTAGTAGTATGTGGCAGTTGGTAACCTGTCAGAAAGAAAGAAAAAGAAAAGAGAAAGAAGAAGAGAGAAAGTAAGTTGCTGCAAGAGAAAAGACTTGCTTTATGTCTCGTTTATGAATGTATGCGTTTTTTATGAATAAATGGTAGTCATGAATTTGTGCGTTATTTAATGCTCGGTCGAACTTACTACAAACTTTTACTTTACTTTAACTTTTAACTTTTAAATAAGATAAACTATAAAATAGTACTTAACGCGTAATCTAAAGGTCCCCATAGGCGGTCAATATTATTGTGCAATATATTGCACAATGATATTAAGAAATGTTCCCAGACGGTGCACTATTATTGTGCAATAATTTAGTTCACCTTTGGTACTTCCTAAGCGAACATGTTGAGTGACAATGCACTACATTCGATACACAACTGAACGGATATTGCGCAATATTACCCACAGACGATACAATATATTCCACATTGCACAATAAAAATCACAATCTTTGATTCACTTAATATATTGCGGAATCTTTCAATATAATACCTAGACGGTCAATGTTATTGTACAATGTTAAATATTATAAAACTCAAGCAGTAATCAATAATGATAAATAATGAAATACACAAAAATAAATAAATAAATAAGGGCTTCTATCGACTCCCTGTATAGAATTTCACTTATGGAAGCAGCTTACGGAGCTTATTGGGATCGTAAATTCTGAATTACTATTTTGAAGTATACAACTTTTTTCTTATTAGTTCATTAGGATCGAACCCGAGCCTACATGAATAAAGAACGCCTTATATGCAAATATACACCCACAGTTCCATTGAAATATAGATCAAGACTAAAACCAACTTTGCATAGTAATTTAAATTCCCTGTGATAACAATTGGGGTGCCATATAACAACAGCAAACTAATTGGTACTATGATAACTTTATTTAATACATGCTAATATTGAAATGGTATGTAGTAAACAAAGTTTTAAAATTACTGTAGTTTCCAGATACTGTACGGCAACTCCGAAAATGAGATGGCATGCGTCACTGGTCGTCCTTTTAGCGCTAGGATCCGTCACGGTGATCAGCGGTTTTCGATCTGCCTTGAAGTTTCCTGAAAATTATATTGAGGATCTTCCCTTGGAAGAAGCAAATATCGGTAAGTGATAAATGTTTATCTTGTAGTAAGGAACGTTCAAATAAAAACGTGGTCGAAGTTGGCTCTGACATATTGGACGTAGGGAGTAGCTTATAGCGACCAACTTAACCTCATTTCTCAACGAGCTGTATAGCAGCTGTCAGTTTCAATAACGTTAATGACTATATAACTTTATTTTAAAGAATAATCGTGATAACAATAACAAACAATTAAAGGAGCTGCGGAAAGTGTCCCCCTCCTTGTTATAACAATAAATTAAAGCAGCTGCTGAAAGTGTCCCCCTCCTTGTTCCAAGCACTTTTCACACCTGTTCCTCAAAGAATTAAAGACATTTTCTAAGATGCTCGGGGTATTGTTAATTTCACGAATCTTGTCTATAAGTCGAGCCTGCAGATGGTTTAAATCAGGAATAGGCAGTTCAAAAATAGTGTTTTTAAGGTAAGGCCACAAAAAGAAATCACACGGCGTAATATCACATGACCTCGGTGGAAATTCATGTTCAGCATTGAGACTTATTAGTCGATTTTGGAAAACTTCCCTCAACATATTCATCGTCTCGCCTGCCGTATGTGCCCTTGCGCCATCTTGTTGAAAGTAAAAGTTTGTAATTTCGTTTTCTTCCAGCTGGTTAACAAAAGGAGCGATAATTTCTTCTCTATACCTTTGCGCAGTAAGAGTACCATTAAAAAAAATAGGTCCATAAATCCTCCTTCGATTGAGAGCACACCAAACTCCAATTTTTTGAGCGTGTAGAGGGCCCTCGACAAAAAAGTTATCTGGTTTTTCAGAAGACCACATTCTCATATTCTGTGAGTTTACGTAACCACTTAAATGAAACCAGGCTTCATCAGAAAAAAAGGTGATATTATGAAGTTCACCGTAGTTGTTTAAAAACCATTCACAAAATACAGCCCGTCGCGGAAAATCAACTTCATGAAGTTCTTGCTGACAAGTTAAACGATAGGAGAACAAACGCAAATCTTTTTTTAACACTGTGTGGCAGGTACCGACTGATACTCCCACCATTTGTGATAAAACACGTACAGAAGTTCTTGGCGCATTTTCCATTATTTGTTGGACATTTTCTTTTAATTCTTCAGTCCGCTTTTTAGGTCGGCCGCTTCCTTCTTTTCTTGTTACACTGCCCGTTTCACGAAAAACATTAACACAACGCTGAACTGCACTTTGAAAAATTTTGTACTCAACAACGCCGGGAAATTGATTTTGAAATTCTATGAAACATTCCTCAATAGAATACTTCCATATTCCATCAATCTTGCGTCCATTTCTAAAGTAGGACTCTATGATAAACACTTTTTGTTCTTGAGAAAACACCATTTTAAACGCTTTTTAAAACGAAAATATTCAAATTGATAGCGGCGATATAGCGCTTTGACAGATGACGTTTAAGTTCATTTGCTATACGCTACGCCCTACGTCCAAATTTTCAGAACCAACTTGACCACGTTTTTATTTGAACGTTCGTTATATACAAAAAACGTAATCCGAAGTAAATAGAAATATAAAAAACCTTACTTTCGTGGATTAAAAGCTGGAGAAGCATGTTAAGTTCAAATTTGAAATATTAAAAAAAATATATTCTTATTAAAAAAAAAGTCGCTAAAAAACTGAGGTAAGTCGCTCGCTATACACAAATAAAGCGTGGCAGTGCTATCAATACATTAAAAGAGAATTATCTCGATAGTCAAGATACAACACGCGCAATTTGAAAATTCCCGTTACTTTTTGATCAAACCCCGTATATCACTGTAACTAAAAATTGGACATGAATCAAAGCCACAAGGTGTTCCATATAAAATAACAGGAGTTAATCATTTCCAATTTTTCTATTTTTTCGTAGATAGGAATGGAATAATAAGGTGGTAGAATAACCCAGTCAGTCTCTCTTTCTCTTTTTAATATTATCACAATATAAAAAAGAAATAAAAAAGGACACTTCCAGAATTGTTTAAAAATATTTCTTTACACGCCACCGGCATTTGGTCAACTGTAATACTAGTCCAAGCATTATAGAGAAATGCTTACAGAAATTATTACCCGGACCTAAGCGAACATGTTGAGTGACAATGCACTACATTCGATACACAACTGAACGGATATTGCGCAATATTACCCACAGACGATACAATATATTCCACATTGCACAATAAAAATCACAATCTTTGATTCACTTAATATATTGCGGAATCTTTCAATATAATACCTAGACGGTTAATGTTATTGTACAATGTTAAATATTATAAAACTCAAGCAGTAATCAATAATGATAAATAATGAAATACACAAAAATAAATAAATAAGGGCTTCTATGGACTCCCTGTATAGAATTTCACTTATGGAAGCAGCTTACGGAGCTTATTGGGATCGTAAATTCTGAATTACTATTTTGAAGTATACAACTTTTTTCTTATTAGTTTATTAGGATCGAACCCGAGTCTACATGAATAAAGAACGCCTTATATGCAAATATACACCCACAGTTCCATTGAAATATAGATCAAGACTAAAACCAACTTTGCATAGTAATTTAAATTCCCTGTGATAACAATTGGGGTGCCATATAACAACAGCAAACTAATTGGTACTATGATAACTTTATTTAATACATGCTAATATTGAAATGGTATGTAGTAAACAAAGTTTTAAAATTACTGTAGTTTCCAGATACTGTACGGCAACTCCGAAAATGAGATGGCATGCGTCACTGGTCGTCCTTTTAGCGCTAGGATCCGTCACGGTGATCAGCGGTTTTCGATCTGCCTTGAAGTTTCCTGAAAATTATATTGAGGATCTTCCCTTGGAAGAAGCAAATATCGGTAAGTGATAAATGTTTATCTTGTAGTAAGGAACGATCAAATAAAAACGTGGTCGAAGTTGGCTCTGACATATTGGACGTAGGGAGTAGCTTATAGCGACCAACTTAACCTCATTTCTCAACGAGCTGTATAGCAGCTGTCAGTTTCAATAACGTTAATGACTATATAACTTTATTTTAAAGAATAATCGTGATAACAATAACAAACAATTAAAGGAGCTGCGGAAAGTGTCCCCCTCCTTGTTATAACAATAAATTAAAGCAGCTGCTGAAAGTGTCCCCCTCCTTGTTCCAAGCACTTTTCACACCTGTTCCTCAAAGAATTAAAGACATTTTCTAAGATGCTCGGGGTATTGTTAATTTCACGAATCTTGTCTATAAGTCGAGCCTGCAGATGGTTTAAATCAGGAATAGGCAGTTCAAAAATANGTGCTATATTTTTTTAGTTATTTTAGAAAAACAGTTTTTTTCAACTTTGCGATTTTTTTTAACCATGTTCGCCATATTGGATCGAGTTTAAAGAACAAGAAACTCAATTTAAAATTTAATTTTCTATACGGTCATATTTTTTTTGTCCAGGTAATAATTTCTGCAAATTTAACATTAATCCGTGACAGAATGCTTGGACTATACCTGACCTAGCGCAACACACGCACTGTCCATCGGCACGCACAAAAAAATATACGAATTTAACGAGGTAATAAATATGTGGAGTTTTGTCTCAGCTGTTTTAATTTAGTCGATTCATTTAGTGTTTTTATTATTACTAATTCCCATTGTTGTGAAATGTAATCAGTAAATGTTAATTAGAGCTTTAATCATGACAAAATTAGTACCTACTTGCTTACGTAATATTACAACAACTGTTCAAAATGTATTATTTTATTTGGGACATTCACATCAACCGGACCTCCTTTCTGCCCAAAATTTATTACATCCAAAAAAGGTCAATAGATCAATTTTCGTTGAAATGTCTACTTTCGATGGCTCCCCGCTGTACCAAAATGGTACCTCAATATGGCGGCTATAAGCTGATAAAAAAACAGGGTCGAACTTAAAAAAAATGATTAATAGTATTTGAATTTAAGAGGCTTAAAAACAAAACAGAAACACTATATAATGTAAGTGTTAAGGGTATAGTCTTTCCGATCTCAGTTGAAGAAGCAAGAGGTTGGCAACTTGACCATAAATTCAGTGGTCAACAAATGGCCTAGCAGTGCAGTGTAGCAATGCGGAATTTGGTGTGATTCAGATAATTTTAATTTATTATAGTCACCTTCTATTAGTCATTAGTCAATAAGAGGAATATTTTAACTCGTGAAATTAATTAACTCGTTGACAAAATATTAATTTACAGTCTAGTACATACAATAAATAACTTTCTTTAGCCAAATAAATAGAAATTGATTCTTGAATTACAAATCAGTACAGACCATTTTGAACGCCCTACTCGTTTTATGACTTGATAGGAACTTGACATCACATCAAGTGTGCATAACTGATGATATCAATGCAATGCCACAAATAGGTAAAAGGTATCTTATTTCCATTAATACCCCGAAATTTGCGGGATCTAAATTTAAACCTAACTCTATTACCTTCTACGTAATTGTTTAAAATGACGGGATCAATATTTCATTTTGGGCAAATTATGGCCACTAAGTGGATTATCAGGAAGCGATTTCCGATTCTGCGTGGGAGGTGTTGAGGTTTCAAACAGCAATTAATCATATCTCTAATAATGTCGTGAAAGCAAAGATTAGTTAAAAATGTCACTTTGTCATGACGTGGAAAAAAGATGCTACGACAGCCATCCTACGTTGTAAGTTATACGATAATAAATGTTTAGCTTTTATGGCTTAATGCGGGTTACTGACTCTTGAAATGGTTGTTTTAGAATCTTAAAAACATATTTTCTTATTTAAATGTCTAATTTTGCGGGATATGATTCAGAATAACTTATTGCAGATCTTATAAGGGAACATTTACACATAAGATAATTTTTCCTATGAACTAAGAATTTATAGTCCCTTTTGCTTTCAAGATAAAGTTAAGGAGGTATATCGGGGTCCGAGGGAAGTGTGAAGCGCAGGGGGGTCCTATGCTTTTCTTATGGGACTAAAGCCTGCTGCCAATTTGAAAAAATTTAATTCTATTGAAATTATTTGCGATAAACATTATTTATATAGCAAAGAAATCTACTCATATACACATAGCATACATATTGACTAATTAACAACATAAAAATAATATATTTAAGTAGTTTTAAATTATATTTAATGAACTAATAAAGACTATGTAGGTGTGGCAACAGCGCTAATAATTGACTAGCAGTTGCACACACTGCGAACCTACAGACCTCGGACATCGGAGATATTGCGCGTCAAATTCTGGTAAAGATGCGTACGCGTTCAAATATGTATTGTGTGTAAACTATGTACAATATAATTATTATATATAGCAAATATATCGTATTATCCTCGCGAAGATTTGTATCCTTTATTTCCGTAAATCGTGTGAACTGGTAAAACAACGAGAATTATGTTAATTTAGTTCTAAAGAAATGAAATGACAATCGCGCCCATCTCTAGTCCAAGTCGAAGAAAATGTTGGATGCAATTTTGAAGGTCTATTTTAGTAATGTTACAAAAGTTTTGCAACTATAACTAATTTTTTAGATATAAAGTTTGCTGAGAAATATTTATGTTCCTTTGTTATTCCGTACAAATGCTTTTATCTTAAGTATTACTAATTATATTAATAAAGTAAAGAAAACTTTATGTAACCCTAAATATTGCTGGGTAATGATTACGATGTTTTTATAAACCATTAAATATATTAAAAGGATTTATCAACTGTATTTTTTATTCCAATAAATATATCACAGCTTCCTAGTCTTTTTTAATTAATCTAGTTTTTTAAAAACATTACAAAAAATCATCTGTTGTGGATAATTTATTGTTGATAACAATGTACATGGGATTTAGGAAAAATGTATATGTTTGAAATCAGTTTCGTTTTTATCAAGTCTTTCAAATGTATTCCCTCCTTGCTGTCAGCTGATTGCGACGTTGCCACATTAATCCTCAAGTCAGACAGAAATGCAATTATTGGTTTCTGTTTCTAATTAATACAGCTGTATTATGTTCAAAACTTACATTAGTTTTACATAAAAAATAAGATAATACTGTGTACTATCTATGGAAAAGTTTGGTTTCACAATTTCTACATTTTTTTTCTCAGTTATGGGTAAAAAAAGAGCCGCACCGTCCATCTTCGCCATATAAACCTATGTTAAAATTAACAACTTTCAACAACAATATCTCAAAATCTAGATTCAAAAAAAATTTCAAAAAAAAATATGACGCACTGAGGGAGCACTGGGTAATACGCTATATAAATTTCAAGTACATCTGTGCATTTGAGTAAACCCGATATACCTCCTTAAAGTAAATTTTCTTGACAAATTTTGCCATTATTTCTAAAAATAATCGACACATACACATTTTTGAGTTAGGATTTCGTGAATTTTAGTACAAGTTTGTTTTACGTTATTTAAAGAAAATATACCAAATCCAATTTTTCCGTTTTCTTCGAGGAATAATTTAACAAATTTTAACGAAACTACTTCTTTTATTTTATATTTTAGTCAATTTTCAATAAACTTCTTTTGCCTATAATTTTGACATCCCACAAGGGAAAGTAGATATACAATGCGAGTCACTAATTAGGAACAAAGTCTGTACATCAAACAAAAAATGATCACACCCGTGGACCAGTTGATAATGAACACTTTTTTATCAAATATAAAACATGCAAGATCTGAAAATTTATAAAAAATTGAGAAAGCGGAAAACGTCAAGCTGAAACAACAATTACATAAATTTAATACACAGAAAGTAAAATCTAATAAAAAATTGCATGCGCATCTATTTACTAAGCTAAAATAAATACATACAAATATCAAATAAAAAGTATATTTTAAGTAAAAAATTAAAATTAAAAAATTTGACAGCTAACAACAAATACAAAAGAAAGTAATTTTTTTGATAAAGTTTAATATTTACAAAAAAATTAAATTAATTAGACACGCCTGTTCAAAGGTGAAGAAAAGCATGAAAAATTATACTAACTTCATCAGTACAATATTTCAGTAAAGACTACATTGGTATTCTGCAGGAAATCTAAAAAATAAAAAACAAATTTTATTGACGGTAGCATATAAAAAATGTGAATGTTTTGTATAAAAGTAGTTTTAAGGGCATAATTTATGTAAGAAAAGTAGATATGTTAATTAATAAAAAGTTAAAGTAAAACGAAACTATAAAAACTAAACTAATAAGGAATGTTCCATATCAATAGAAACTTCTAGAATAAGAAAAGTCTAGAATAAGAATCTACTTTTAGATTTAAAGACAATTTAAACATATCTGAAATTTGAGGTAAAATGTGTTCAATGTTCATACAGGGTGTTCTGTAACTCTGCAACTGTAAAATTTTGTAAAACTCTGCAACTGTAAAAAAGTTGTCTGGAACCATGTGGGCTATGTAAAGAAAATATTGTTATTTTTACAGGGTGGGCACTACATAACTTTGTTATTTTAAATGGAACACCCTGTATATTATTGCGTTTTTGAATTCCTTGGTTAATATTAGGTAGAGTTTATTAAATGTACATGGTGTTTAAAATTTACCGTTTTCGAGATAATCAGTTGTTTTTGAGAAAAATCACGATTTTTGTTTTCTTAATGAAGCTAGATAGCGTCTAAACCGTAACATTTAGAAACCTGACGTTTTCACAGTTCGTTTTGGCATAAATTACTCTATGTTGTCATCTGGTGAGCAAAACGTGTACGTTATTCAGACTCGGAAATACTGAGACCTAGATTTAATAATCTTATGAGTTGAAAAACTTTTTTTTTTCAAATGAAATGACCCATATTAATTGTCATGAGTGATTGCAAAATTGAATGCCCTTTCGACTGATACAAGGTTGTCTATACTTATCTCTAACAGTTTTCCAGAAAAATCAGGTTCTTTTCTAAATTCCGAAAAAGTAGCTATGTAACAGCATCAAGAACAGAGTTACAGAAGAATCCCTCTTGGGTAGAACACCCTGTATAATATGGTATTCTAGAACATTTCAAATAATTCTAGAATATTTCCAGAAAAATCCCTGATAGTCATTTGTTTGGATAAACATATTTTAAAAAGAATATCAACCTATGTATGTACATTAGCATTATTTGTAAGAACTGCCAAAGATTCCCATAGTACGTCTCTTTTAAACCTTCCAAGGGCAAGCCTCTCTAAAATAAAGAAAACAGTTAACTTGACAGAATTGTGAAAACATTAAATCAAACGTAAAAGTTGTGAGGTTATAAACCAAACCGTAGTAAGAAAAGATGAAAAACCAAATATAAAAACAATAAGCAAGTAAAAATCAAGTTCAAATCAATTAATAAAGTTAAAAGAAACCTAGAAGATTTATCTCCAACGTTGTCTGTCAGATGTCGAAATATTCAACTGAATTGCAAAAGTAGGCAATTAACAATACATCCATAAGAAAACTTGGTTGTCGCATTGGCAGTACTAGATACAGAAGAACCAAATACCAGGAAGTCCTAATAACTACAAGACGAATCAACATACCGGGCGACTCAAAGATAACTGGGAGGAAACAACTGAAAAGGCCTCGGGGGCTTGTAATAGTGAGCTTGATAAGAATTGATATTTGTAAAAAGTTAGCGTAGGGAAGGTAAGGTTTTTTTAAAACGTAAAACTCAATAATTTCCAAATTGTTAATAAAATAATTAGTTAAAATCAATTCAAAAACATTTGTAGATATGACGCTAAAGATAATTCTTTAATAGATAAACATAGTCTTTTGTACTTTTCAGAAATTAAAAAATTTAATAAATATTTGTTCCTAGTCATTCCCAAGTTAAAAATTATTCTTTTGTTATTCTTAAAATCTCGAAAAATGTACATTATTCAACTAATTTCGTTTTAAAGCAGTAGTTTTAGTTTTATTTATTGCAATTTTTTATTGATTCCTTCAAAATATCAATTTGAAACCAAATGCTTTTCAAAGAAAACTGGGACTGGCATTTAAAACAATCATTGACGTCACATCTTTTAGTTGGAACACGCTGTACATATTTTTTTTATATTTTTCATTTGATATGCGAAATTTATTATATGTTAGTGATTGGCATTTAATGTGGAAAAACACCCAAATATGTAAAAGTAATTGCTACAAAAAATAATTCTCAACTTCCACTCTCTTCAAGAACACGTATCTCTGATAATCTTTGTGTTCGTTGAGTAAATATTAAGTAAAACGTCAATATATTTGACATACACCTGAATAACTTCCAATATTTATCCCTACATAGGTACATATTATTCGACGCTTGAAATGTCAGATTTTACGGAAATTAAAATCCAATTTCGATTCAACGTACGTGGGACACGTAAGAATCGTAGAATCAATTCCCTCCATCTGCATATATAAATATTTTACAGGCATGTTGTGATATCCGATTTCAGTTTTCATTAATATTTCCCCATATTCCAAATACGACATAATAGTAGCAGGTATTAAAATGTACGTCATTTCGCAAAGGTCATGGTTGTCGCAACACTCACATCAGAACATAGTTATGTGTGGAAGGAAACGTTTCAGAATTTTTTATTATGGAAAACTGAAACAACAAGATCGCAGAAATCCATTAACAGTTTAGTCTAAGGAACGAATTTTTTTATCATAAAATCGTTATTGTTGGATGTCCACTGTAATAATCCTACTGAACACAATCACCAATTAAAGACAAAATAATACAAATAGTATGAAGTGTGGTGTGGGCTGTAACAAACTTGCGTCATTCCTTTGAAATTAAGCTTAAAATAACGTGTAGGTGGTGCCATTTACATTATTCCTAATAATTAATTATAACACATTAAGATCGTTAAAAGGAAACAATCCTGAGACAAGCGACATGGAAAATTTTAATGACATTTCAATTATTTTATATTTTCCAATCGACCGGAGTGTACGAGCTTGGAATAAAATTTTCCGAATGGTTAACTTTGAGTTTTATATTTCAAGACACATAGTTGATGGAATATTACACCGGAAGTACATATTCCAAGAAATATTTCAAAGCAATACCACTCTTCCATTCTCGTCTTATATTTGTAAAGTTGGTTCATGGTCAGACTCTTTATTTTCTTTTAAGTAAATTGTATGTAGGCAAAATGTACATTACAAAACTACATAGTTCTATAGATATGTGTATTTTAAGCATGCCTACACTGCAAAAGAAATTTACTCAAATTTCACTCAATTTTATTCAATAATCAAATTCTGCCCACACCACATTGAGCGAAATTTTCACTCTATTAGTCTGAGTACAACTGAGTGAAACTATTGCATCATAAATGAGTGAGTTTTACTCAAATCTGAGTTACTGCTAACTATCAATTGAGCGACTTTTGACTCTATTCTGACTATATAAAACCAATATCTATTATGATCTAAATTTAACTATTATTGAGTCATTTTTTACTCAAACTTGGTTTTTAATTAACTAAATATTGAGTGCACTCATAAATGATTAATTAGGATATACAGTGTCGAAATTAATTCACTTCGCGGGGGCCTCATCGTGTCCTAGCTGAGACCAGCCAACTGAGACCCGCCGCCGCCGGCTAATGCCTGTTGTCCTGGTGATCACGCTTTTCTGAAGCATCTAACGGGCCCCTATCAACTGTGATCGAGATTACCAGAAGCAATATTTAAGTGGTGCCATCTTCACGGCGCCATTCAAATTACTCGAAATTAATATACATTTAAACTCACTCAGTACATTACTCTCATTTAGGTACAAGTGCACCAAATACGAGTTTATGTGAAGAATTTATTTAAGTAGTACCTATATTTGAGTGACAGTACTCAGTTTTAGTTTAAATATAATCACAAATGTTATTCATTTGTGATTATGATCAAAATGCTCAATAATGAGTAAAAATGTACTCTATTGCTTTCGTTCATACCGATTTTTTTACAGTGTAGTATTTGATTGCAGTCGATAATGGAGTAGTTTTATCAATGTTAAACACGGAATATAACGTTTATTAACAGGTGAAATAAGTAAAAAAACAACCTAATACAACCAACAGAGGAAAACCAATCAACGCGGGATATTATAAATTTTAGAATTTAAAATCGGCTGAATATTCTAACAAAATTATTTACTATGTCATTTAGTTTAAATAACAAGATGGATTTCACAGGGTCTAACGACACTTACAGTGTACGATAATTCAATAAACAAAGACATCTAAATAAAAAATATAGATAAATTTGGAACGAATACACTGAAGATGAATTTTTCGAGACAAAACGTCTGAATCTGCTTCGGGCTGAGGCAGTACAGTATTGACGGTCATGAAGGCTTGCAAAAAATGTAATAAAATTTCTAGGGTCGTATTTAAAAAAAAAAATGAAGTAGACGATGGTCCTGGAGAGACGAAACGTTACATATAAAAATTGATTATGCCATTCAATAGAGGGCAAAAAGTGGCCATGAGAAAGTGTTCTCCTTTTTTCAATATCACCTCAAACAAGGCTGAAATGAAACAAAAACGGATTTCCAAAATTTCGGTTTTTTCGAATATTTCGAAAACTAATCATGTTAGCCTTGATTTTTTAGAGGTTGGTCCCCTGATTACGCAACTTTTCCCCCATTTAAGCTAGTTTGTAACTCTTACCGTTTTCGAGATCCCTGTAGTGAGAAGCGAATTTCTAACAGCCTGATACTGAAGAATAGGGGGCCAAGTATAAAACCTTGAGACACTCCTGGAGTATCTTCTATTTGTCATACAGTCATTTGTGCGTATGGAAAATAATAATATCAAACATATATTAATGAAAAATTTTAGTACAAACGCAATTAATACAAATTAAGAGTTCCTTTTTGTTCTAGATGAACGCCCTGTACATCTAAACATGTATGACGATGAAAAACTAGAGAAAATCGACAGCATACTAACCAGTTTGCTAATTTCACCATGGCCTCATGGCATCAGCCCCATTCTCTACGTAGAAAATAATCCAGTTTCAGTCGAAGATGAACTGCTTTCGGACACTCCGACTCCCGATGAATCTCTCCATCCTGTCCCTCCCAAAAGGACAAGGTACTACAGGAAATATCCCTGGAAGAGGCAGAACTCTAGGTAAGTGATCACCTGAAACAAAAATTATAAAATACCGCCAAACTAACTCGAAAATGCGACAAAAATTGTAGGCTCATCATTTTTAAAGACATTCATTAAAGATTTCATATGACACCAAAAAAAAAAGTTGCAGGATTCATCGTACAGGTAAACGGTGAGATGCATTTCTTCTAGTCCAACAATCCCCAAATACATTTCTTGTTGAATACTCAATAAAACAGGCAATAAAACAGTATTCAAAAAGTCCAAACGATTTTGTACCGCAAGTTGTTTTTTTTTTGAAGAATAAATTACTGACCCTGAAAATCCCCATATATCAAATTTGGCGCGAATGTGTTATTTTTTGAAAATTTGTTCGGCCATCTTGGATCCGCCATCTTGAATTTTGCAAAATTGACCTAGAATCCGTGATCAGCGACCCCGAAAACCCTCGTATAACAAATTTGGTGCGAATCTTTTATTTTTTTTTTTTAAATTCGTGATATCTGACCTTAATAGACCCGTTTTTTTTTTTGAGGTTAGAAAAGGAACCATCAATTCTGACCGCGGATTCACGTTCGGCGGGGTCAACCATATAACTGAACATTTGAATATAGAAAAAAAATAATTCCTAGCACTTTTTCGTGAATTTTTGCTATTTTTGACCTGTTTTTTGAGGTTAGGAAATTCCTGTGATGTGATAACTCAATTCTGACAAAAATGCTACGGATAACATAAATGTCGCATGAAAAGTACAGACAACTTTTTTTTGTGTGGCTATGAATTTATAGTGGAAAAATTTTAAGTACTGAAAGAAAACGTATGCTTTGGTTTCAGATACGAACCAGGCAACCGCTTCATCTGCACCCCCTCCAAGGACGACGTCTACCGCCTGCTGGTAGCCCTGCACGAGGCCAGGCAAGGCAACAGAGACCGCATGGTGAACTTCTGTAACCGAAAGCGTCCAGCGTACGCCATCTACACCAACATCCGTTTCCTAGGGAAGTAAAGGTGATAGACGGCGGTTCACGGTTTCTAACAGTATTAACTAATCGTTGTCGAGCTTTAAATAATAAATTGGGGTCTTTAAATGCATATCCAAGGGTTTATTGGATTGTTTCTGCTGTAGTGTGCATGCCATAGTTGTTACATTAAAATTTCTTCTTCTTGAATAAAATTGATGATTATTTTCCTTACCTGAGAAACTTGAATATCTTTGCCATTATTGTTAACAGTAAACAATATTTTAAGTATACTAATACAAAAAAAAAACAGTTTTGCTTTCACATGCGATTAGGTTTGGTTGAATCAGAACAGCTGATTTTATAAATTAGGTTGTTTTAACTGATGACAGAATTTTGAAGCAATAACAGCAAAATTGGCGTTGATATGTACCTGCAACCCAAATTAGTTGAGGATATTGTTATCATTAATGCTTGAGTTCCGAATCTAGATCAAGAAATCAGAGACTTTTATGATCATCAGTAAATTGCGAGATACAAATAAAAAAATTAGATCTTTTCTAACACGAATGGAATTTTAGTGCTTTATTACTCAAATTGGCTTCTAAGGAGCAGGCAATTGCAACGATTTCAATAATTCACAATTTTCTCTACCAAATGAATATTCTCTAGTAAGGAAAAAGAGTTTAGCATTTAATAGCTAAACTATTTCTAACTCTAATAATTATGACACCTGGCTATTTTCAAGTATGGCGGATGTTTATAGGTTTTAGGCTTTGAGAGTTTTAAATTTTCCAACTCCCAAAGTAAAAATATACTGGGTGTTCCATTTAAAATAACCAAGTTATTGCTGTTTAAAGTTGAGAGAAGTATTCAGCAGTTTTTTGGACACCCTGTATAATACTAAGTGACGACAAATATAACAATTTAAAACTTCAAGGATCTAAATTATTTTTTTATTGCTAATATTAAATTTCTACGCTATGCCTGCATTTTCACTTAAATTGAAATATCTCACAAACTGTAAGTCCTAGGTATGCAGAACCTTTAATAAAGTTCACCTATTTTTTTACGGTGCTCTCAAAAATGCAGTAAAATACAGGGTGTTCCATTTAAAAAAAACATAACTTTGATATGGTACGCTTTTCCTGGACACCCTGTATACCTCAAAATGTAGCCGTAATCAACCTACACATACCCACCTAAACAGGTTTCTGTAACATTTGCCGTTTGGTCACTAGCGATCGAGGCGTTACTGGTGGCCCACCCTGTATACAGGGTGTTTTCACTTTATATTTGGAAAATGCAGGAATGTATTCCCTATCAAAAATTAAGTGTAGTTTGCTCTATAAAAATTTTTTATGAAAGCCTTTGTTTTGGAGATACAGGGCGTTGAAGCTTAAAAAAATAAACACTTTTTGACATATCTCGGCTATCCACAAGTAGATTTGATTTAAACTTGGTACACATTATGCGTATTGGGGGTTCTCATAATTAACAGAATATCAGTCCTATCGCATTAGCCAGTGGCGTACAAAGGAGGGATGCGTGGCCCCTTTTTCGAAAAAAAAGTACGCCATTGAGTTTTTCGAAGAATGTAAAGTAAATTTAAATACTACCATACAAAAGCAATCGAAAAGGTCTCTTGGTATTTTTTGGATAATACGCAGCGTTCATGAGATTCTTGGACTATTAAGATTTCAATGCATGAAAAAAAAAATTACGACATTAAGTTTTTCGAAGAATATAAAGTAAATTTAAATACTACCATACAAAAGCAATCTAAAAGGTCTCTTGATATTTTTTGATAATATGCAGCGTTCATGAGATTCTTGAACTATTAAGCTATTATATTATTATTATATGCATGATAACATGGTACGGTAGTGCTGAATGAGAAAGAGATATTTTTCTTTGAATTCAAATGCTGCATTAAAATTTATAGCAACTTTTTTGTTTCGCAGCAAGCCAAGAACTTGTAAATATTTTCATTACTTTCCTCTACTATATAGCAGCTTTGTTGAATTATGCCTTTAATTTATGTAAGTACTTAAAAATTATTATTAACTTTTACCATTGTGTAGATACATCACTGGTTGCAAAATTCCTACTGAAGAAACTAATAATTCTAAGTATTGATATTATTGATGAATTTGTCATATAACTCATGAGTTTGATGATTGTAATTTTTTTCAAAAGTTTAACGTTATATCCCTGTTAATTTATATAATGCACAAAATCATATGCGTTCAATCATTTACAATTTTCAGTAGAAGAAGTATATTTTCTACAAATAGAAATGGTTGTAAATATTTAATAGATGAACAATTCTGTTATGGCACTTGGCTATTTTCAAGAATGGCAAATATATATTTTTAATGTAGATGCAAAGTCAATGAATTAATTATCTTCAAATATAATAAGGTAGAGATTAAAGATTTAGAAAAGAACTTTTTTCCATTTCATAACTGATATTTCTGATTTCAAAGCAACATGATCTTGGTCGTTCTGAATTTATTGGGAATCATTTTCGGCCTCTTCTAAAAGGGGATACGATTTGTGACTTTTCTGCTAAAATAATTTCTAAAAGTTATTCATTTCTTTATATTATTTGTTTCAAATTTTCTATGCCTTTTTCTTGAAAAAGGGAATAATTGTTTTTTGAACCCAATATTTCCAGAAATTTTAGGTCTAAGTACAACAAACAGTACGATTTTCTGTTAACAAATAAAATTTCTGCCCAATGTGTGATAGTGATCAGTAATTTACTTGAAAAAATATTTTAAACTTTCCAAGAAAATCTACACTTTTTCTGTAACAAAGCATTATCTAAAATCAGATCCCTTCTTTAAGTTTAATTAAATTACTTCTAAATTTTATTAGTTAAAGAAGTCAACATACATAAATTATTAAATATTTTCGAAATATTTCCCTCTTTCCTATAAAGTAACTTTAGCCAGTGGCGTAACATTTTTATTTTGATATGGCATCCGGGTGTGATAATATGTCACTGGCGCTGCATAAAAAAATGCACTTTTTGTGCAAATATAATACCTAACGTCAAATTTGCACGGTGCATTCGTTTCGCAGTTATAAAAATATTTTCTTTAAAGTAAACACCCTGTAACACGCAAATGTAGAGAATTAGACTAAAGTACAGCTTGACCAAATGTATCTTGTTCGCGAGATGCGCAGGTCAAGAAGAAAGTTGGCAGAACGAGTGACAAAGACATAAGATGACGGTTCAACGTTCAAACAGAGAATGAGCTCCGATGCTAGTTTGGTAACGTTGCCATTCGTGGACAAGATGGATTTGGTTAACCAGTGGCCTCTTATGCCCTTTAATTTAAATTTGAATACAGCCGATATACGTAAAAACAACTCAAATAAAGATTATAGGTGTTTGTTTTTCTTGTTTATTTTGCATGTATGTAACAAATTGATTTGGAAATTTACGCTAAAATTCAGAGTAAATAAACGATATTTTTTCATAATCTTTTTTTAGGTGTAAATCTGTCACCTTTCGGTAACATAAATAGCAACTCTTATGTTTACGATTCTAGTTTTCAATAATTCACTATTACTTAAGTACAGCATTTCAGGATTTAAAATTTCTAGTTCTTAAATTATTTAAAACATTTCTGTATTTTACCCAGTTCTAAATAGAACATTTCTTTAGATTAGGCTACCAATATACATATTTTTATTTTACTTTCGTTAGTAGATTATCCTGAAATTATTACAAATTGTGAAGAACTTGAGACGGTTTGTAATAAACGGGATAGACTTCTTTATCTCATACATTATTCAAGGTACAAAGTAAAATAAATCGGAAACTTTTCACACTGTCTGGCGCGTAGCTCTTGTTTGTTTCCGAGCTCGTCATATATTTGTGTCAAAACAAGCCGCAATGTTACAAAAGCCTACATAAGAACTTCCAAGTTACCACATCGACATCAAAGACGGACAAATGCCAAAAAATATAATCATTCTTGCTCCACCGAACAAAAGCATATTCGGTTTGCTGCCTCGAACTCAATTTCACATCGCCGGTATTTTCGGGTCGTTTTTCGAATTGGCCATAAACACAACAATGTGTTTCATTAATATGCAAATGAAAATCTTAATGAAACCGTTACATGACATAATTCTATGCAAATGCCGGTTTAACATAAAAATTGAATTAGTTACTTCCAGCCATTGGGTTTTCGTTTATTACAGTTTTCGGAACGATAATTTCGGACGCTTCTTTCTGCTGTGATTAATTCCAGTCTGCCAATCTTTTACACTGTTTGTACAGGGTGAGCAAAATTCGACGCTTTTGGGGAGTTTCTTTAAGTGACTTTCTATTGTATCAATATATGCTCATTTAAAAATGGCCTAATTCGTTCTTCTATTTGTAAATATATTTTTTAGAAGATTTAAAAATTTTAAATTGTTATGGATTCATAAATACTGCTAATAAATAAAACATAAATGAAGCTGACAAAACTAACAATGGGCATGAAATATAAAATAATCCTCTAATTTAGCCACAAAAATAAATATTTTATTATTTTCAATATTTTTTTTACCGCAAATATACAGGGTGTGCCATTTAACACTCCAGTTGCCAGTATTTTAGTTCCGCAAACAAGGGTTGTTAGGTCCCTCGAATAGCTTCAAATTGCAGTTAGAATTGTTAGTTCAAATCTTTCTGTATAGATGGCGTGGCGATACTAAAAATTTTTTTTGTTTCCTGGAACGTGGAAATACGGTCCATCTGAAAGATTGTTAAATTTTGAGTAATTTTTCTAATATAAAGTTTTTCCCAACATTTGCTTATTTTCGAGACTTCAATATGCAATGTATGATGTAACAGGAAAATCTATTACTTTATTTAAATGACACTGAGACAAAATATTCTTTTAAAATATTGTTATAATGGTTTTTATTCATACCACATACTAACTAACAAACAATAAATTATAAAGAAACAAATGATCAACTAAAAAAAATTGTACAATGGTAAATCTTATAACTAGTATAGTTAAATTGGAAGACGCAAGCTGATAAGAAAACTGTAATTATTGGAAAACTAATATGTGTCATTTGTCATACATGTTTTATTTTAAACAAATGACATGAGAGACACCTATAACTGAATTTTTTAATAATATTTGATAAAATACTGTTCGTCTCTGCCCCCTACAAAATTTACCATTGTACAATTTTTTTTTGTAGTTGATCATTATTTGTTTTTTATATAAATTATTGTTAGTGTAAATAAAGCTATCATAACAATATTTTAAGAGAATATTTTGTTTCAGTGTGATTTAAATACAATAATAGATTTTCTTGTTACACCATAGCATTCATAGCATATTGTAGTCAATATGTCTAAAAACAAGTAAATATTGGGAAAAATTTCATATTACAAAAATTACTCAAAATTTAACGATTTTTTAGATGGACCGCATTTTCACGTGCCAGGAATGTAATTGAAAGGAAACTATGTAGACTTAAAATAAGAAATATCCGCAAAAAACAAAGATATTCCTGAAAATCAAGCCCCTGACATGTTAACTACCTACCTACTTTTTTCTGTCTTTGAGG